TCAATGTGATAAAGATATATTCATTAACAACACAACATAATACAAATGAATGAAGATATTCCAAGGTGCTTGTTGAGTCTGTCCAATTTGCATAGAAGAAAAAGTCTGCTAATTATAGACATAACTTCCTTGAAATTTTCTCAGAACTCAAACAAACAACAAACACATCAACATATATATTCTATTGACCAAACTGATAATAAATTCTATTACACCAAATATACATCGAATAAATTGTACTACATCACATATCTACTATCGTATTATACAATAAACATGTGCATTCAATAACAAAATCCCAATTTCTTCAGCTTAACAAGAAAAACTCCTGAATTACCGAATTTCCTCGTTCAGTTTATTCAGCTGCACTAAACGAGAGTTTACCGATGAAAGAGCCATAAACAATCTGCACAGAATTTTCCAAGAGCACGATTCATCGGATGAAAACTTTTCTCAGAAGATCACTTCATCTGACACACGTAACTCATTCATGCTGCGCGCGACAACAACATTTTTAACTGGACAAATGTACTCACTGTTTCATGGCACCCGAATGAATAACTTCAGCAAACGAAATACGTATCTCGTAAACCGTAAAGTTCAATTCTAATATTCCAAACAGTCATCAATAAAATTGACTTTGTATTTCCTACAACTTTCATTATGCTTTTTGCGAGGACTGCCTTGTCTCATCAAAATCGTTGAACTGATAATATGACGGCGGATCGTAGAAATCACAAACTGCGCCAACACTAGGATCGCGACCCTGAAACACGCTTTATCGTCACTTCTCAACTGCAACTGAACAACGNACATAAAGAAATTGTAGATCAGAGGCAACTGAATCTCCAACTGAATGGATACCCAGCTATATACCTAAGACACTTCTTCAAAGAATTCAAAGACACACAACAACGAATTATTCCCAGACTGAATAATTAAAAGAGGCGTGCATCCCACCTGAAATCTTCGGAACAATTCGCCCTGAATATCACCGGCTCCTTTCACCAACATCGTACTCTTCAAACGCTCACCCGTACTGCGCACATCATTCTCGATATCAAACGTTTCGTGAATATCCAACGCTAGCATCTAAACATCAATTCATAACCACAGTAGTAAACAGTGTACCACAATAACAGTCAATCACCAATTATATTAGCAATAATGCAAACTAGGTCAATAATTCGGTAGCACCAAGCATAAAGACGAAAATAAATACAACATGAAAGTAATGACATTTTCTGCGAAAATACGATATAACAATATCAAACCTCAGTCCACAGCTTCCGGTAGTACATACTCATATAGGGTTGCATCGCGAAAATCGGCGTGAATGAACAAGGATGGTAGTCGTATCTGGCCAGCTTGAACGGGAAATACTCTTTGTACAACTCACGATACATATCCAGCCAAAACTTCTTTCTAAAACATCACTTATTCGAATCAAACATGCTCACAAAAACAACGAATGTACTCATCTATGATCAATCAACTGTAATATCCATCAAAAATAAATGAAGCAAACCAACTTTCGATCTTCCATTTCAAAAATCGATAAATCAAAATCGGCCCAAAACAGTGCTCGATAAGACTCCCACAAAGTGGCACGTGAAAGACCCATCGCCACAGTGTTGGCTCTCACCTCCGACATTACCTCACCTGTCTCCTGAACGCAAACGGTCAATGCAAAAATAGTTTAAAATGAGTATTGGTAGATTTCGAAAAGCAATGAAATTAAAAACAAAAAACTATGAGTTAATCAAAACATTTGGTTAGTTTAAAAACAGATTTGGATTAATCATAACCAAACGCACGAGAAAAACAAGCAAGCACACTTTCAACTAGACATCCACTAAACCCTACGAGCACATCTAAAAAACAAAAACTAACCGAATGTTTTGATGAGAGTACATTTAGCAGATTTGGTTTATACATGAAGAACTGTGTGAAGGCAGGTAAAAGATCCGCTGCATCCCAATCCAGCGCATACATCGGTGACCATGGAATTGTGATATCACGGTATGGCGATTCTGATAAAAGCAGTTGCAGTGAACGGCCAACCTTAACAAAAAAAACTAACATT